TCGAAAAACCCGAGTCGCTTGCAATGTGACCTTAGACCCAGCATCCGTCTCCTCTCATCTGTAAAATGCGTAGCCTGTGGTCACGGCGTGTCCTTTCCTTGATTGTTATCAGCCTGCTGCGCTCAAGCACCCCTGGCAGAAGCCTCTCGGCAACGCTGCACACACAACAGTTGGGTTTTTGTGTCTTTTTTTGTCAGCGATGCAGAATCCAAAACGGGTGTATTGTTGGCTTGGGATTTTAAAAAAGGGGAAAGTTTACATTGGCTTGTGAAGTTGGAAAGGACCATGGAGGTCTTCCAATCCAACCCCCTGCTCGGGTAGGAGACCCTATATACCAGGGGTGGGGAACCTTGGCTCTTTTATGATTTGTGGACTTCAACTCCCAGAATTCCTGAGCCAGCCTGGCTCGGCTTGGAAACCTCTCCATTTCTCCTCAGCATGGCTGGCTCAGGAGTTCTGGGAGTTGAAGTCCACCAGTCATAAAAGAGCCAAGGTTGCCTACCTCTGGCCTAGGCCTAGGACGCTTTATGACTCATGGACTTCAACTCCCAGAATTCCTGAGCCAGCCTGGCTCGGCTTGGAAACCTCTCCCTTTCCCCTCAGCATGGCTGGCTCAGGAATTCTGGGAGTTGAAGTCCACGAGTCATAAAAGAACCCAGGTTGCCTACTACTGATCTAGGCCAGGGGGAGGGAACCTTGGCTCTTTTATGACTCGTGGACTTCAACTCCCAGAATTCCTGAGCCAGCATGGCTCAGCATGTTAACCTCTCCCTTTCCCCTCAGCATGGCTGGCTCAGGAATTCTGGGAGTTGAAGTCCACGAGTCATAAAAGAGCCCAGGTTGCCTACTCCTGGACTAGACCAGCCCAGACAAATGGCTGTTCAATTGTTTCTTAAAAACCTCCAGTGTCGGAGCATTCACCGCTTCTGGAGGCAGGTTGTTCCACTGGTTAATTGTTCTAACTGTCAGGAAGTTTCTCCTTAGTTCTAGGTTGCTTCACTCCTTGAAGAGTTTCCATCCGTTGCTTCCTGTCCTGCCTTCAGGCGTTTTGGAGAATAGCTTGACTCCCTCTTCTTTGGGGCAACCCCTGAGATGCTGGAACACTGTTATCATGTCTCCCCTCGTCCACTAGATATACCCAATTCCAACAACCTTGTAAGTTTTAGCTTCCAGTCCCCTGATCCTCTTTGTTGCTCTTCTCTGCACTCATTCCAGATTATGACTTGAATTGAAATTTTAAATTAAACAATTTAATTTAATTTAACTCAATTTAATTTAATTTAATTATTTAATTTAATTTAATTTGTTTTATTTAATTTAATTTAACTCAATTTAATTTAATTTAATTATTTAATTTAATTATTCAATTCAATTCAATTCAATTCAATGTTTGCTTCTGCATTTTATTCAATATCCGTAAGCCACTTTGGGCGAGATGGGTGACCTACAAGTTTGATAAATAAATAAATACAGATCGTCCTCCATTTACAAGAATTCGTTTAGTCACCATTCAAAGTCGCAACGGCATTGAAAAAAGGGACATGACTGTTTTTCAAACTTACGACTGTTGCGGCATCCCCCAGGCATGTGATCAAAATTCGGACGCTTGGCAACTGACTCGTATTTATGACGGTCGCACTGTCCCAGGATCATGTGATGAAAATTCAGACGCTTGGCAACTGACTCGTATTTATGACGGTCGCACTGTCCCGGGATCATGTGATAAAAATTCAGATGCTTGGCAACTGGCTCATATTTATGACGGTCGCACTGTCCCGGGGTCACGTGACCCATTGTTGCAACCTTCCGACAAGCAAAGTGAAGGTGGAAGCCAGGTTTAATTAACAACCGTGTGACTAATTTAACAAAAATGCAGTGATTCGCTTAACCACCGTGGCGAGAAAGGTCGTGAAATGGGGCCAAACTCACTTAACAACGGTCTCGCTAAGCAATGGGTGTCATGGGCTCAATTGCGGTCGTAGGTCGAGGACTACCTGCGGGCAAAGAAACTCTGAAATTGGGGGTCTGGTTTTGGTGTAACAAGGCTAATGATTACCCACTTACGGCCTTGAGGATACCTGGTGTCACTCTGCCATTTGTCTGATCTGATTCCGGAATGTTCTGGCTTGGCAGGTGAACATCCTGTTCGAAGTCCAAGAACAATTAATCAGTGGAACAGCTTGCCTCCAGAAGCAGTAAATGCTCCAACACTGGAAGTTTTTAAGAAGAGACTGGACAGCCACTTGTCCGAAATGGTGTAGGGTTTCCTGCCCGGCAGGGGGTTGGACTAGATGACCTCCAAGGTCCCTTCCAACTTTACTACTACTACTACTACTACTACTATTATTATTATTATTATTATTATAAAATTTCAGATGTTTTTTTCCTCTCTGAAAAAAAGGCATGTTTTCATTACCTGTCATGTACCACGTCTTTGCAGCTGAAAATAACGACCAGGCCGGAGAGGGTGGCCATGATGGCTTGGATGGTGGAGACCAGTCTAGAAAAAAAAAAGAAAAGAAAAATAAAGTCAGAATAAGGCACGTGACCAAGAGAGAAGAGGGGAAACAGATAGACAAAAATATGAAATATTTCTGGAGGCGACCAGACAGGAGCTTGCAACGGAGACGGGAGGATCAAGGCAGGACAAGAAGCAACGGATGGAAACTCATCAAGGAGAGAAGCAACCTAGAACTAAGGAGAAACTTCCTGACAGTTAGAACAATTAGCCAGTGGAACAACCTGCCTCCAGAAGTTGTGAATGCTCCAACACTGGAAGTTTTTAAGAGACTGGACAGCCATTTGTCTGAAATGGGATAGGGTTTCCTGCCTGAGCAGGGAATTGGACTAGATGACCTCCAAGGTCCCTTTCAACTTTATTACTATTATTATTATATAGATCATCGCACAGTCCGCCAGATGTTCAGACTGGATTTGGCATTTTGTCTACCTATCGAGTCCTTACCCAGGACATTATTATTATTATTATTATTATTATTATTATTATTATTATTATTGATAATTGTGCTGGGTTAAACCAACTGGGTATTCTTAGTTTACGGAAAAGAAGCCAAGAAGATAGGAAGCAGGTTTGAGTTATCTGGAGCAGTATTTTTCAAACTTGGCAACTTTAAAGTGCGTGAATCAGCACCCAGAATTCCCCAGCCAGCCTGCTTTAAGATAGGTGGACTTGAACTCCCAGAATTCCCCAGCCTGCATGGATTAACATGGGTGGACTTGAACTCCCAGAATTCCCCAGCCTGCATGCTTTAAGATGGGTGGACTTCTACTCCTTGCTGGCTGGGCAGTTCTGGGGTGTTGAAGTCCACCTAGCTTAAAGTGGCCAAGGTTGAGATACACTGCTTTAGATTGATTAATTGTTGATATTAAACTTATATATCATCCAACTTCCAGTGACTCTGGATAGCCTCTTTACAAAGGGTTAAAAATATTTCCAAACAAGACACAATACAAAAAACGCCCCCCAAAAAAACCAAGGTGACAGAGAAAACAAACCCAGATAGGAATAAGGAAGGTCCTCCCCACCACTAGGGATGGGCTAGAATAGATGACCTCAAGAAAACCCTTCTACCTCCCCCGGCCCCTCATTTGACATGGAATCTGCCGTTGGCTGAGCCAGTTTATCCAAGGAAAGCAAAACAGCCTCTCTTTGTCAGATGACCCACTTTTGACTCACAAAGGCCTTAAATCCCCAACTTCTGGCAAGGCCTCGTTGCTTCCCTTCACGTGCCCCAACAATTGAAAAAATGAGGGGAAAAAACAGTTAAAAGTTGCAAATCATGTCTCAAATAATAATAAGAATAGAATAGAATAGAATAGAAGAGAATAGAATAGAAGAGTTGGAAGGGACCTTGGAGGTCATCTAGTCCAACCCCCTGCTCAGGCAGGAAACCCTATCCCATTTCAGACAAATGGCTGTCCAATATCTTCTTAAAAACTTCCAGTGTTGGAGCATTCACAGCTTCTGGAGGCAAGGAGTTCCACTGGTTAATTGTTCTGTCAGGAAATTCACACAGAACAGGTAGTCCTCGACTTACGAGTCCCACGATTTCCGGTTGTCAAGTGAACTTTGCTCCATTTTATGACCTTTCTTGCCACCGTTGTTAAGTGAATCGCCGCAGTTGTTATGGTAGTCACCTGGTGGTTAAGTGAAATCTGGCTTTCCCCACTGACTTGTCGGAAGGTCGCAAAAGGGCATGACGTGAAACCCCCCCCCTTGTCCAGGATACTGAAATCGTCATAAATAAGAGTCAGTCTCCATGGGTCTGAATTTTGATCATGTGACCGCTGGAATGGTCGTAAGTGTGAAAATGGTCATAAGTTCTTTTTTTTTCAGTGCCATCGTAACTTGTGTTTGTCAACCGTTTGAACACGATCTCTGAGAAGTACAGGCCATCCTTGAGTTACAATCGTTTGGAAGTTACAACAGGCCCCGAAAAAGCTACTTAATGACCCGGCTTCGAAGTTTTGACCACCGGCCCGCTCCCTCACCCATGGTCACATGACCACATTGTAGGCATTCAGCAACCAGCCTAAGCCAGCATTTACGACCATCAGTGGCATCCCCCCATCACAGGACTGCAACGTATGATGTCTTTGCCGGAAACCAACATTCAGTTTCTAGTAGAGAAAGTCCCCTGAGGTTGGTTGTTTCCTTGCAGACGTTTCATGACCCAACTAGGTAACATCATCAGTACTACACAGGATATTGTGGCACTGATGGTGTTGCCTAGTTGGGTCATGAAACGTCTGCAAGGAAACAATCAAGCTCAGAGAGCACCAAGGACCCCACAGTTTTGCTCCTCCTCCTCCTCCTCCTCCTCCTCCAGCCCCACTCCCTTCTAGCACTGATGATGTTACCTAGTTGGGTAATGAAATGTCTGCAACAAAACCACCAACCTCAGAGAGAACCAAGGACCCTCATTTCAACCCTGAGCTACAGATATTCTTCTTTATTGAAATAATGGCCCAGGGCGAACAACGGGGTCACTTAACAATTCAATGACCAACGCAAAAGAAAAAGTCATGACTGCCACAACTTATGACCAAAACTGTCAAATACTTGTTGGCCAAAAGACTTGAACACTGGGCCCTATCTAACAAAATGAAATTCAGTGGTGAAAAAAAGTAAGGTTCTACATTTAGGCAAGAAAAACCAAATGCACAGGTATAGGATACGACAGGTGGTACCTGGCTCAATAGTAGTAACTGTGAGAGTCCTAGTGGACAAACACTTAACTATGAGCCAGCTGTCTGCTGCAGCTGCCAAAAAAGCCAACACAGTGCTAGGCTGCATGAACAGAGAGAGAGAATCAAGATCATGAGAAGGGTTAATACTACTTTTACTTGGTAAGGCCACACTTGGAATACAGCATCCAGTTTTGGTCACCACGATGTAAAAAAGATGTTGAGACTCCAGAAAGAATGTAGAGAAGAGCAACAAAGAAGATTAGGGGACTGGAGGCTACAACATATAAGGAATAGTTGCTGAAATTGGGGATGTCCAGTTTAATGAAGAGAAGGACGAAGGGGGACAGGATAGCAGTGTTCCAATATCTCAGGGGCTGCCCCAAAGAAGAGGGAGTCAAGCTATTCTCCAAAGCGCCTGAAGGCAGGACAAAAAGCAAAGTTACAAAGTAGTGGATGGAAACTAACCAAAGAGAGAAGCAACCTAGAACTAAGGAGAAACTTCTTGACAGTTAGAACAATTGACCAGTGGAACAACCTGCCTTCAGAAGTGGTGAATGTTCCAACACTGGAAGAGACTGGACAGCCATTTGTCCGAAATCGTATAGGGTTACCTGCCTGAGCAGGGGGTTGGACTAGATGACCTCCAAGATCCCTTCCAACTCTTTCTGTTTCCTTTCCTTTTCTTTCCATTCCATTCTATTGCATTATTTTTGGAGATGAAGCCAGGAACCAGGTGTATCCCAGGTGTAGCTGTTTAAACTGGAAAAAGGAGGGCGTAAACACCAAAGAAACACCGTGCCAGGAATAGCTCCCAGTATGTAATCTGGCAAGGTCACTGTGTCTGGATGACCGTGTGTAAATATCCTTTGATCAATAACCTTGGCTTGCGTTTCATCCTACTCTTAATCCATTCCGGGTTGAAACTTGCACAGGGCATCCAGCCTTTTTTGTGTTGTTTTTTTTTTTTTTTTGACATTCCTTCTTCCGTTTACTCCTCTGTCAGAGAGAATCAAACATGGCGGACCCTCTCCCAGCATCCCTAAATGTAAGCAGAGAAGGGCAAGGTGGGTTTTTTTTGTTTTTTGTTTTGTTTTTTGTTTTTTAAAAAAAATTGCCGTTTCCATGAAGCAGCCGCCTCGCTCAAGAAGATGGCAAGCAGAGAAAAATGTCGGCTCTACAGTAGAGCCTCCAGCCTCAGGAGCAGTCTACCTCTAAACAGTGATAGCAGCAGCAGCAGAGCAACGCTCCTCCAAAGTCATTTGTCTCCAGGCCTCAGAAGCAGCAGAACTGTTTAGTTTAGTTTAGTTTTTTTTTTTTTAACAGAAACCACCCCAAAGTCAGCAAGGTTGAAGGAAGTGAAGCAATTCTCTGACTATTTCTAAATTTTGCCTCTGTTTTAACCTAAGTCCATTTGGGAAGCACACTTGTTTTTTTGAGGGGGGGGGGTGGGATTTTTTTTTTTTTTTTAGAAATTCAATAAGAGCAGAGGTTAGGCCTGCTGTTTTTCTTCTCCCTCCCTATCTGTTTTACCTCACCTGTGGCATTTTTCCATCTGCAAAGCCATCGAACCAGACTCTACTGATTTTTGCAAATTGGTCTCAGAACGTTTTGGGCCCAATTTTGTTTCTTTGTTAGTAAAACAAAAAAGTCCTCCAGCTAAGCTCCTCCAATATTCGGAATGTAGGCAGACCTAGACTAGGGGTAGGCAACCTTGGCTCTTTTATGACTCGTGGACTTCAACTCCCAGAATTCCTGAGCCAGCATGGCTCAGCTTGGAAACCTCTCCCTTTCTCCTCAGCATGGCTGACTCAGGAATTCTGGGAGTTGAAGTCCACGAGTCATAAAAGAGCCAAGGTTGCCTACAGCTGGTCTAGGGCAAGGGTCTTCAAACTTGACCCTTTTATGACTTGTGGACTTCAACTCCCAGAATTCCTCAGCCAACATGGCTTAGCTTGGATACCTCTCCCTTTCCCCTCAGCATGGCTGGCTCAGGAATTCTGGGAGTTGAAGTCCACGAGTCATAAAAGAGCCAAGGTTGCCTACCCCTGGTCTAGGGCAAGGGTCTTCAAACTTGACCCTTTTATGACTTGTGGACTTCAACTCCCAGAATTCCTCAGCCAACATGGCTTAGCTTGGATACCTCTCCCTTTCCCCTCAGCATGGCTGGCTGAGGAATTCTGGGAGTTGAAGTCCATGAGTCATAAAAGAACCAAGGTTGCCTACCCCTGACCTAGACTCACAACTATTTAGTGACCGTTTGAAGTCACAACGGCACAGGAAACAACTTGA